AAGACCAGTTCATCAATGGTCCGAGGAATGACCTCGAGAAGTGGTGGGTGGGAAACTGTGAGGCGGAGGCTGCGGCTATCGGTACTAGTTTCAATCTTTTTTCGTTCAATCAGGAGTACGGGTCAAAGGAAAGTAGGCGTGAGGTAATTAAGGAGTCCGTAAGGTGTATGCCTCTAGTAAATTTACAACACACAAAAGTTAATGTCAGCTCTGAAACGCACATTCCAAGCTGCTCAACTTCTACTCGCAGAATGGATTTGAACAAATTTACACATGGTTGACAATCCAGTTCTATCTCACACACTGTATACCAGTTCAGCTGCAGTTGCGGCGACGCATACATAAGCAGATCCAACCATCAACTGTCACAACGGACGATCGAACACATTCCAAAGTGAACTCTACGACGCAATCCAAACTCAGTAATCGGGCGGTCACACGTAACCCCAGTCGATCATTTTCAAAACACCTCATGACAACCAAGCGCGTAATTGATCCCGCTTCCTCATTCAAACCCTTGTTGTGTAACTGTAATGTAAAACTGCTGGCAATAAGTGAGGCGTTACTAATCAGACTAAATCACCCTGTTCTGTGCGCTCAGAATCCATTGACAACACTTACTTACGAGGTGAGATGAATAAGTGTCTTCATTGACCATGTAAACAGACTGCAGCGTATACATTTGTAAGTTAATATTGGCATTCAGCTCCACGACTATGTCGTAGACTGAAACAGTTCTCAACCCTATTCAAGATTTAACAAAAAAAAAACTTTTTATCGCACGATTCATTTTTATTTGTCATGGAATGACTATAATACCATCGGTTGTTTACACATGGATACAAACGAAAAAGTGATGGAAAATCTGCTCATCAGAGCAGTACTACATCGCCACTTTCCACATAACTTCGGACGGAACTGAATGGCAAAAGGTGCTGTTCACCAGGTTCCAGACTGAGGGAGACGATCCTAGCCAAAATGAAGGAAAAACAGTTAAATCAAAGAATAAGTACAAATCGTTGGCGAAAAACATCAAATAGGAACTACATTGTCCAAGAGGGTAACTTAATCACAAGCATAGAGTATATGCGAGGAGTAAGTATTACACTATTAGTCCGCATTGTTAACCGGATTTGAATTGCGCCCGAGTAGTGTGACATGAGTTAGTGGATCACAACCTCTTATATGCTTTCTAGCATCAGTTGCGTCGAGTGAGCGAGTGGAGCACTTGTGTTATGTAATCTGCAGTTCGAACCCCTCCCTCTTGGGGTGACGGGTGTGCAAAGGAGTATTTTTGTTCACCTTATACAGTTCCCCTCTGGAGGACCTAACGAAATTTACCCGCCGAGTCATTAACTGTTTGTTAATATCTTGTGATATAAAATTTCATTTCTCCTACAAGGCCGTTTCAAACTGAAATTTGTATCGCAGCCCTGGTCCACTCCTCTCCTGACCTGATCCTTCATGGTTAGATTAAGCTTCAGTGATCAAGATTGCCGTAGGAAAGTCTATTTACAGGAATGCGTAGAAAACTGATTTAAGACAAGGGAATGAATGATGTGCGGGTGGCCGCTGTCCTGGAAAGTCGCCTTAGTGGTTCTCCTACACGGCGGCAAGAAGTATTATATTAGAACTGCTAGGTAAAGTTGATCAGTCACGATAGCGTCCAAAAATTCGAGCTGGTATTAAGTGTGCTGCATTGTTGTTGCAATCATTTCACTTGTATGGAGATCGCAGATGTACCTTTGACGATCATGCTCGAATAACAAAAATAATGATGCTTGAGTTCCAGTGATCGGTTGCCCTTGTTCGTCCCTACAAACGAACCCCTAGATGGTCTAGTTTATACAAAACTGCCGGCTACCCATTTAGAAGACGGAATAAAGATGGCAATGCTGGAAACAGTCTCAACATGAAACTGGACACACTGAGGTTGCAAAGAAATTGTGTGGATGCATAGGCGCCGTTGTTAACCGCACTCAGCGATAGCATTCAGTATATCTAACCATCGATTACATGGATCCCTAGAAAGCTCAACGTGAACTAAATGACCGAATTTCCGGATCAGAGTTTCGATAAACTCGTGTCAGTTCTTACCACATTTGACCTGACTCCTTTAACTACTTTTTTTGTCACACACTACTGTGTGATGAACAGGAGTCGGGCGGACCCCATAGTCTCGAAAACCTGCTGTTCAGTGATGGAAACCAGTAAACTAAGCCTCAGAACTTGGAGTGGTGAACCACATAAGGCCCCGCTAGGTCAGGCGTCTAGAACCGGGCGACAGCAAAGCCGCCTATCACCAAAGTTGGGTGGTGGTGACGGGGCTCGAACCTTGGACCACAGGGTCCAAAGCACACCGGTGACAGCGGCTAAATCACTGTGCCATCACCACCGCCTCAACTGTCACAGCAGTCCCTTTGGTGATTTGTCTAATACGTTCCAGCCGATTCATACATAGACAGAACAAATAAGCATTAACGCTCTAGTCTGTTGCTGCTAATCCCAGTTGAAAGATTGAGAAGGAGGCCTAATCGCCTGACACACAAAGGGTGAAGCGTGGCGATGAAATTCGGTATGAAGAAAGCAGTGTGTGTACACCAGTTTCGGAGCCCAAGCCTTCATCTCAACGAAAATCCAAGGCTAAATGAAGAAGATATTTTCGCAACACCAATCTAATACCTTATGAATGACATACCTTTTTAGTTAAACTTCGGGTGATATTCCTTTAGTGGCGTAATATCTGGGAGTGAGAGAAGGAACTAGATAATTCAGAAAGAGGGCTGGAACTTTAGGGCAGGAAACATTTCGCGGTAGACCATGCCCGAAGAAGAGGTTTATCACTAGGATCTCCGATGGAGCCTTCACCTCAAAACCATAGCCCACAAGTTAGTGGGGGCTTCTGGAGGTCGGTTACGCAAAGCCTTCAAGTTTCGGTTCAGTGAGTTATTCTCTGGTTAAATCATTGTCATAAAAAGCATCACTCTTGCAACAAAAGGAACCTGACGAATCTTTCATTTTTTCATCTTAAACCTTATGCATTTTTGTCAGGACGGTACAACACATTGAAGAGCAGATGTAAACTGGATGGGAAACGATGCGATACAGATGAGAATCATCATACAATACTTAGAAAAATTGGGGCAAGTCTGAAACACGACGGAGAAAGTTGTAATTTTGGATTAGGGAAACACGGTCCAAACTCACGATGACTGACTGTCTGCACCGGTATAATCAGATACTTGAACCGCGTCAACTCGCGCTTGAGCTCGACAAAGCACATAACTGTCCTCACTGGGATGAAAAGCTATCAGCGCGAACCGGGGGGTGGGAGGGTGAAGTGAAATTAACACATCGGTATAAGAAAACAGGGAGATTCTAAAATAAACAGATATGGGCAAAAAACCAAACCGACTGTTTCGTGCGAAATAAAAAGAAAACGTCCATCAAAATAATTCTTCAGTAGCCACGATCATATTCGAGAGTCGAAAGGAAAGGATCTAAATTGGAAGAATCGTGAAAGCAGGAGGTGAATGCAAATTACGCAACGGATGACGATGATGATGAGGAAGTCATAACATAACACAATCTAAAGACCGATTTGATAACCACAGCAGTGAATTTTATTTATAAATGAAATGGCCACATGGCGGGTTAAATGACTGTAAACACCTAGTCCAGTCAGGGAGTAAAGATAGTGGGTAGCATTGAGAAGCCTCAACATCCAACCGCTCTTTCGGCCATCACACAGAATTCAATGTTAGACCGTTTTTGTATTCAGTGCTAGATCAAAGAAGCAACTGGGTTCGAAGATCAGCCAGGTCCATCTTCGAACACAATCCGCGATTATGCCCAAAAACCACCTCCATTTGGTCTATGAAAATTATGGCACAGAACAGGATGGACATTAAGGTTGATTTCTGTGCATGAATCGAGAGTAGACGGATGGGGTAGGGATTCGCTTTGACATAAACTATTTTAAGGTGATATGCTATATGAAGGCTAGAGACTCATTTTTGAAAGAATCCAAGCCAGCTACTGGTTTATCAACGTTTCTTGCTGCACGTGCGTTCACAAAGACAACCTACTTTCAACACGCGGTTCCCGCACCCTCTATAAGACAGGCAATTCTCGTTCACTGTTTGCTCTACAAAATGGTGAACCAGCTGAAACCAACCACATCCGTTGAAGATTGAAATGAAATATGAAGAGATATAGGGACAACAAAATTGAACGTGAACATTGGTGCGATGATTGACAAAGAGCACCACTGACAAGTGCCAACAAGGACAAAGTAATTCTCCAGAACAGTACTACGGTACACATTGGGAAACTTCAACGAAAAGACTAGGCGACCTAATAAATCAAAACCACGTTGAAAGGTTTCAATAGTCCCATGAAGACATTGAGAAAACGAGTCGTCGAGTGAACAGTTCAGTGCATTTTCACGCTCCAGTTTTGGTTTCCCATTTGAATAGTAGAACATAATAAAGATTGGAATGATGAAGGCACAGTCAAAGAAAATATGGAGTTTATATAGACTGGGTTTGCAAGAACAATAGTTACCGGGTATTCTTGGTCATGCTCTAACATATCATATGGTGGAAAACGCTTACGGAATGACCGCCATTGGCTCAGTTTGGCTCATTAATCATTACTCAAATTATTTATTTATATATATATATATATATAGTTATTAGCCAAACTCGTGCAACATCCTGATTTTCATCACATCTGTTCCTCTCAATGATTAATTTTTCCAGTCTTATTCACGGGATTGAAAATGATATTGCCCCAAATCGGATGTAACATATCTGATATAATACACATTTGTGTCACTGCTTCTATGAGCCACATGCCATTAGAATGTACACTTTCGCGCATCGTGCATCAGGTGTAAGATAACAAAGTAACAGTGGAAAATGTAACTGTAATTTATTTAATAAAATGACTCCTGGTATTGTTCTTTCATCTCGTCCATGTTCCATTTGCTCTTCTTCATTTCTGAGCACTGGATGCAGTCGCTTTAGCATAGAGTCCACCAAGTTGACTGCCAAACAGAATTTGCCAGGTTCCTCTAATACACCCTGCACCCTAACCATTGACGACCAATGTCATAACAGCTGACTTATCCCTGTTTCTGATAGAGAGAACAGTTTTCGATTAAATCAAAATCCCAGCTGTTGCGCGGTAATAGAACGAATTTGACACTGAAAGTGACTCCTCTAGAAACTGCATAAATGTGGAAAAAAATAATATTTGTTTAGGTCAAACCGTTTTCTATTACCAACCTCAAGCGAGCTGATATACCAAACTTCATATGTGAAAAGTATGACTTCCGTGAGTGCATTTTGGGAGTGACAGTTATCAAAAACCTCCCTTATCAGTGGAAGAAATTTTGCTATGTTCATATTGGCGTATGGTGGAGACCAAGAACAATGCGCTCAATAATCACTTCCCTTCCAACTCGTTAGGTGGGATAATTATTTACTTCTTTTGATAGGTAAAAAGAAATTCATTAGAAAACCAGCTCAGTAGATCAGCTTTCACAATAAGCCGAATTACTCGTTGGCACCATTGAGATAAATCCATGGCCAAATGGGCGGGCGACGCGATTAGAATTAGTTGGTACAATCAATACACACTATGCTTTGTTAGGCGTTCAATAATGGCTTTATACCAGGTGGCCTCAGCTGCATTTCAAATTGAGCCATCAGTTTTGAAACGAAAGCGTGGGGGAAAATGGCTAATCAGCCCGGACTATCCTCCAGATTGGTTTTGTACAACTGTTTTCTGCTGCGATCAAATACAACCATCATCTTAGCTTGATATGGCCGGTTTTCTCCTTTTCGGTTTATGTCTTGATTAAGAAATTTCGTTGAATATGCAACAAATTGGACTTATGTTCACATAGAAGCGCTTCCACAAGATATCAACTGAGCCAATAGATTTATGCGCCTCTCATTTAAGTTGCCTCTCGGCTTTAAGTATATGCCCAAACCTTTTGAAAGTTTCATCCGGTTTGGGCATGGTGACACTACAGAACGCTTATTCAAAGAGGCGCACACCTCAAGGTCAACTTTCGAAGAACAACTTGTGTTTGTTGGACCATGTTTTCAGTTCTTCCAGTATTGGAGATAATGCGTGAGTAGTTTGTAGCCTAGTAATTGATCGATTTATTTAAGTTAGAATATTTTCAATAATTTGCTTATTTACTGTGCACTGAATGAAAAGAGAATAGAAATTTAGAATACGTGTGCTCAACCTAATAGAAACTCTCAGGGGACAGGAATCATCTATTACAAAGAATGAGCTCCATGCTACTTTGCCCAAAATATTTTCTAAATCAGAGCTGCAACTTTCGAACGACTGCAAATTTTATAGCGACACTCAAGGTCGCGGACATTCAAACGGTGAAAGAAATGAACTAAGAATATAGATCTTGGAGATAAAGTCAGGAATAAATACACTTTACTCATAACCATCCATATATAACTATGATATTGCAAACTGATGTGGATTTCCAAAATGAGGGCAATGTTGCACGAGTTTGGTCAACACCTGT